CTAGTGAGTTAACTACCTCAGTCGTCAACAGTGATGACGTTAATCTCTACTCGGCTGGTGCAGTGGCGACTTACGTGCTGATTATTTGTTGAAGGGTGGACTTAATTAGCCACACAACGAATAAGAGATGAAAATAGGGATTCAATCACTTATACAGCGCGATTTGCATTTTATCTGGTCGAGATCGTGGGGACTAAGTTTACTGCGACAAGGCAGACGCCGTAGCTGGAAGGAAAGTTTTATTTGCTTGACGTTTTGGATTTACATTCGAATCAATCAGCAGATAGAGAGAGGGAGTGAGATAAGGGAAGCATTTGGTGTAGCCGTTTACATTGCATTCAGTTGTCTCCAGATAATTGCCGATATCTCCTAAAAATGACTTTGCAACTAGAAAATGCTTCAAAATTTTGTCAATTGGTTATGCCTTTACCTGAGTACGATCCGTGAAATAAGGCTAGTATTTTGGCCTCTGTTCTGAGAATAGCATCATATTTTGATTTGAGTTTGTCTTGTTATAATTTGCCATTTGTCATCCTTTGGTCCCGGGAAAACGGTAATGTTCCTTTTTAAAATTTCACGTTTCCCCGCTTAATGGGATGGTAATGAAAGTTATTCAGATCAATAAGCCTTATATATTACTCCTTTGGAAAACGCCTCTTCCGTTGCCGCGAGGACGCTCGAGGATAGGTATACGATCTACTCTGAAAGCGTCTGATTCGTAGTATATTAATGAAAAATATTGATCCATCTTCTATTTAACCTACCCGTGTTTTGTGTTCCTCAAGTCCACAGGCACGGGTTCTTACTTTAGTGAGAGATGCAAACACTTATAAGGGCAGGTTATAGAGGTAAAAGTTCACGCGTTTCGCCTTAGAAATTCGGTATCTTTGAGGCTGCTAATAACGTCAATAATCAAGCCACCGAGTATGCTTTTCTGCCGAACAGAAGCAATTCGATACCTTAGGGTGGCACACGCATAGGGTGACTGACTAAAATACTTATAGGTAGCAAAAAGATAAGGTGAGATTGTTTTTAGCGGTCTTTTTAGGTCCTTATGTATTATAGCTACTTACTTAAATTTTTAAGTAGGTTGAATTACC